CTTAGAAGGGGCTATGAGCACTGGGGGTTACCTCTCTAGCTCCAAGTAAATAAACTTAATTTCCATCCCAAGCCCAAACAGATCCTAACCTCGCCATCACGTTTGTTTTTCCATATCATGATTGTCATGCCTGAAATCTTTTCCTCAGTATACGTGAGGCTTACTGCCACGAGACCACATGACTAGAGATAATGTTTCAGGAGAGAAGCTTGCTTATTTAGAAAAAAGTAAGGGTTCAGTTTAAACTGCAGACCAGAGGGAAGCTGACAGATTCTTTTGGTCTGCACTCTTGGAAACAGTGTCGCTAACCTACGGCCCCTTCTCAGCACGCTGACTTTTGCGCTGCCTCAGTGAGTCCTCTCCCTGCTCGGTGTTGGGGGCAGAGGGCTGCTCCCGGCCTTCTTCTTCCGTCTCCTCGGGGTCTACTTGCCCCTGGTCCTCACTGCCCTCTCGTGGGGGTCCCTGGTCCTTGACATCACACTTCTCCTCCTCCACTCCAGAGGCCGGGGTGTCCTCCTCCTCCTCCTCCTCCACGTCATCCTCATCACCAAGGTCTTCTTTCTCTTCTTCGTCATCTACAAGGCTGTCCTTGTTTTCTTCTTCATTTGAATCATCTTTCTCCTCCTCTGCATCCTGTAACTGTTCAGCCCTTTGAGCCTCATCTGACTGATTCTGCTCTGTAGAGGGAAGAGACGGGAACATCCTCTGAATAAACAATGGTAATTCAGCTATGAAATGAAAGAATGGGAGAAATGACCATTTTTCCACATTGCAGCTGTGGTATCAGGCATGACAAACTCTCCGGCTGGCATCCCTGCTCTATGGAGGGCTTCTCCATGCCTCTGGAAATTCTCCTCCCTGTGTGGACGTTGGCAGAGCAAGTGGGCAGAGACAGCAAAAGCTCCTTCATGCTCTGTTTTTGTACCTTGTAGAAGGCTCAGTGACCCCCACTGGTCATGGCAATTGGTTCAGAAATGTGACAAGCTGAGCCAATCAAAGCACTCCCCAGGAGTTTGGAGCCACAGTTTAAAAAGTCTCTCTTTCGTCAGGGACAGTTAAACAGAGACAACGTAAATTGGGACTGCAGGTAGCCACTGAACGGGCCACACAGAGCAGAACCCTAACATCACTTGGGTTGTGCTTAAAACTAGAATATCTCTGCACTTTTCCGGTATGAGAGCTAATAAATTTTCATTTTTCCCTTAAGCTGCTTTATACTGGATTTGTGTTACTAGTAAGAATCCTAGGGATCATAATTTATTTTCTATTTATTTGTAGAAATCTCAAAGCCTCAAAACCTAAAAGAACTCAAGAACTCAAAGCCTCAAGAACTAAAAAGAAATATGAGTATATTTAAAGTCTCATATAAAAATTCAATAATTATCAAGTCTCATAAGTCTTTATGCAGTCTCAAGAAGATTCAGAAATAAGGACCGAGGAAACCAGGGCCACTTGGTCCCCAAGGCAGCGTGGAACAGTGTGAGGATGTGGGTAAACGCTTTTAAAGAACTCAGTTGAGTTCCCCTCCTTCCCTTCTAGTTCTGGTTCTAACAGAGAAAAATACATATCACTGATTAATGAAGAACATGCACTTAAAGGGAAAAAACAATTTCAAAATGAAATGTTCCTCAATTTAAGAGAGGAAAAAATATTGATCAAATCTATCTAGAGAATGTATTTTTAGGAATTTAGGACAGGGAAAATCTACTATTTATATGAGTACAAACAGGCACAGCACAGAATTCCAAAATACTCTACGTCACATGCGCTTATGATACTTACCAGAACGTTCCAGTAAATGCCTTGGAAGTGGCACATAGAAACATTCTGATATGACCACCAGAACCTGAAGGGGAAAAAAATAAGTTTTCAGTGAGTAGATAGAGACCAAAGGGCCTCAAAATTAGGCCTTGCTTCCATAACCAGATATTCTCAAATAATTAGCAGTTAGTCAAAAAGTCTTCAGCAAAGACAAGGCTATACTCAAGAATTTCCTACATTTCAAATATGGCATAATACAGAAAAATGTTAATTTATAATGGGGGTCCCAAAGTCGTAAAAGTCTACAGAGAGCTCTCTATACATAGATGAATCAATCAGGTATAAAAAAACAGACATTACCAGCCAGTCTAAAACCGTCTCTTTAAAAAACACTGTTCTGGACAAACACAACTACTCTGTACGTGCACTGCCCCCACCAATGTGTAACCCTCATTAAGTGGATGAACATTTCAGGAAGGTACAACCAGTTGTGGGGTGGGGAGGGCTCAGCATGCTTTGTGTGAAGGAGAAGCTACGTAAAGCTCTGGGTGCAGTCAGGAGAGCATGTTAGTACCTGCTCTGTGGCTGCTGAAGCTGTGCCCCACTGGATCACCACAGGGCTGGTGGGTCCAGAAAGAGCCCTGAAGGCAGATGAAGAAGACCAGGAGGAGGGGCAAGGAGAGGCAAGAGGGCTCTGTGGGTTGGGGGACCAGGCAGCTCTAAGCTATTAAATCAATTTGAACAACAAATAGAAAAACATTTCTCCTTGAAAGGGCTGAGGTTGAAAACCTCACATTTTTAACATGACAGCCATGTGTTTACTAGCTATTTACAAGACATAATGTTTTTACATCTTTTATTTTTCATTTATAAAGAACACATAGCTGTATATGTATATAACCCTGTATATTTATAGGTACACTATGATGTTTCAATGCAGGTATACATAATATAATGATCAAATGGGGCAATTACCACATTCATCAATTTAAACATTTAGCGTACTCTACTATTCTGGAAAATTCCACACTTAGCAATTTCATCTCAGATTTGTCCTACCTGAACTACTCATTTAATTTTGGCTCACTTGGTGCTATTACCAAAAACATCTTTTAGATCAGTGGTTCTCAACCCTCCTAATGCTGCGACCTTTTAATATGGTCCCTCATGTTGCAGTGACCCCCAACCATAAAATTATTTTTGTTGCTACTTCATAACTGTAATTTTGCTACTGTTATGAATTGTAATGTAAATATCTGATATGCAGGATGTATTTTCATTGTTACCAAGGGGTCGCAACCCACAGGTTGAGAACCACTGTTTCAGATTCTGGTTTTTAAACAGATGTGTCATTCCTCAGGGAGTCTGAACAGTAAGTACACTGGGCACCTGTCCCCCAGGCCTTCCAAAGCCAGCCTGGAGCAGCTCTGCATAGCAGTAGCCTCCCTTCACCACACTGCGCTACACAATTATCATTCTCTGTGTGGCCGAGATGTAAAGGCAAACTGAGAAACACTTCCGTAATCCTGAAAAGGTCATTCTCGGATAGATGATTTAAAACTGGATAAGAAAACAGTTCTTTCAAATTGTGTAACTAATTCATAAAGGGTAAGTTTTAAAAGTACGTAAGAAATTAAAGATTCCTAAAGGCTCAAATTCTAGCTGTTGTGTGTTTATTTTGATATACTTGCTTGGTGTAGAAAAAGACATTCTGTTCAGAGATATGTATTTGTTCTTTTTTAAAAATGTATTATAGAAAATTTATGAATTTATTATGGTTTGATAAAGTTATCTTCCCAGTTTCATGTAAGGGAATAAAAGTCTATCTTACTTAATCATGTGAACAGGCTGGAATTAATTCTCTTTTTCTGTAGGCCAAACTTTCAAAAACCTTTCTACACTGATTATTTCAATCTTAAGTTTCCAGAGGACACAAGGAAACTGAGGCCTGCCTTAGTTTCTTGGACTTAAATTCAACCTCGAAGATAAAATTCTAAAACTCTCTAAGTAGAGTTTTCATTGGTCTTCCCATAGGTTCACACTCAATTTATATTCCCTGTAACTAGTTTTTACCTAAGACTTCATATTGTTTTCCTTTATAATTATCTCATATACATATAGCTCCCAAATATACTGCTAGAAAAATCTAGCACTAGACAATATATGGGATCAGCACAGGTGATCACCTTTTACTTATACCCAAAGTCAAATCTCTTTAGGCCAGATCAATGGGCACATGTTAATCAGCAGTGAGATCAATGCAGCAGAACAGGACACACCTGAGGACCTGACAACACACACAGCCACATCTCAAAAATAAGCCATCATCTGAATTAACTGTGTTCGTGGAAAAATAAAATCAAGTCTTCTTGGTTCTCGGAGTCATGACTTTGTCATAACAAGTTATTATTTACTACAAAGTCAACTGTTAACATTTTAATCTATTTTTTGAAAGTATTATGCCAAAGAGCCAAAATTAATTATAAAATGTAAGAACAGACTTTAAGATAATCTTACCCAAAAGTCTCTTCTTCCTACACATTTTTATTAATTGTCAGTTATCCCACCATCATACAGTGGTAAGTTTTCATTCATCGTCAGTTACCCCATCATCCCAGTGTTCAGGAGCTCTGTGATTAGTGCACAGTGTAAAGATTCTTAACAACTTTTTATCCTGAGTTTAAATGTATACAAATTGCTGAAGAGTAAATTAAGATAAAAACAAGTGTAACGACGAATAAAAAACATTTATATTTGCCTACATAGTTAAGTAAATAAATGTATTATTCAATTCTCATGTAAAACACATAAATACACAGACATATACTATATACAGATTTTCAAGCACAAAAAAGACATGGGGATGTGCTTAGACTCGTCAATGTTTTTTCCACAGTAATGGTTGTGTTGTTTTTCTACATGGTCTTACAAAATCTACCTCAAGAAAACCAGAGTATGTACAAGCAGCTAGTCAGGCTTAGAGGTTCAATTGGAAGATATGAACAAGAAAAAATTGTGTGTCTACTCGAAGGAACAAACTCAAAACTTGGCCTTATTATCACAGTGTTCTCATCAAGTGGGTAATGTGTGAAATCACCGCTGATTCAGTTGTCTTGAAAACCATCAATTCAGGCAGAGTCTCTATTCTTTTTTCATCTCTACATTCTAAGCAGTACATATCTTCTGAGGGACAGTATTAGGTGACAATATTTAATGAATTTCCCATTATGTCCCACGTTGCAACTAAAAGCAGTATCAAATAAGGAGATGCTGTTTAATAACTGCTGAGATTACATGGAAAGGAACATTTGTTCATGTGTTTTTTATTTCTTGGCTAACTTTTAGCTTTATATGAAATCCACTCTGCTTTTAAAGAAAGAAAAAAAGATTGGTTATCTCTTACCAGACCCATGAAAAGGCCGAAAACCAAGGTAGCTACGACGAAAAAGACATATGAACACCAAGCAGGAATTCCGAGGGTCACTGTGAAATAATTGTGAAGATGCTGCAATCAGAAGAAAACAAGAACAATTAACTCGTAACCAACAAATGGAACACGCAAGTCTCTTCCTCTAGCTGTAATTCAAGTCTGCCAATTGTGTCTACCCATGTAAGTGCCCACAGAAGTTTAAAGGTACTGTACCTAAATTATTCCAGAAGAATAATTCAAACTATAAAGTGTTGGGAACTGAAAATAATAATAAAGGTCGTATCTAGTAAGAGTTACTTCCTTAGAGTCTATAATCTGGAAAAAGTCTGATAGACTTGTTCAATTATAATAATTTTTTTGGTCCCCTTCCCCTAATAATTATACACCCCTCAATGTTTACTCATAATATGGCATAAATGAAAAAAAATTCTTGAGCCTTTATCAATTTTTTAATATAAATTTTTTTGACATATAATTTACAAAAATTTACATGTATTAAATATAAAATTTAATAAGTATTAATAAAATATGTACACATGTACCTATATGTATGTAACTAAACCCCAGTGATATAACTGTGGTTATATATTTGTCCGTATAACCAAAACCCTAGTCAAGATACAGAACATTTCCACTGCTGCCTCAGATTTCCCTAGGGCTTCTTTCTAGTCGATGGCCTACCCAGAAGAAACTAGTTGTTCTTAATTGTAGCCCACTTAGTTAGTTGTGTTTGTCTTTGAAAAGTAAAACTAAATTCTTATTCACAAGCACCAACAATTTAAAATGCTTTTTCTAATCAGATTTTTTCTTTACATCCTAAAAATGTTTACTAAATTATCAGAAAATATAAAATAAGATAAAACAAATAGTTTTTGTGGGTAATATATTATGAGCCAATGAGATTTCTTTAGTTTTTGAGGAAAGTGAACATCCCTTACTGTTCCGCTAGGACTCTATCTGATCACAAACACTTTAAAAATGAGTGAAGAGAAAAAAAACCTTAGCTAGAAATTATTTACATGCTACATCAAACAGCAATTATACATGACTCTGCTAAAGTCAAAGTCACTTAAGACTTTTTTTAATGTATTTTTTTTTTTATTTTTTTAATTTAAAATCATCTCTTGGGTTTTTATTTTTTTTCCTTTTATTAAGTCATATACACATACATCATGGATACATTTATGCATCTGGGGGGTACAATGTGTTGATTTTTTGTACAATTTGGAGTGCTATCATCAAACTAATAAAGTTTTCACTTCATTTACTTATTATGTTAAGACATTTATGTTCTATACTTGATAGATTTGACTCTTCCCTTGCAATATACCCCATAGGTGTGGTCCCCCAGTTTACCCTCCCTCTATCAAACCTCCCTCCTCCTTTTCCTTCATCTTAGGCTATAGTTGTGATCTATCTTTCATAAAAAAGTATGGGTAATTATGAACTGGTTTCATAAAAGTAGTAAGTACATTGAATACTTTTTCTTCCAATTTCGAGATACTTTATTTATTTATTTTTTAATTTTTTGCAGGTTTTGGCCAGGGCTGGGTTTAAACCCACCACATCTGGCTTATGGGGGTGGCGCCCTACTCCTTTGAGCCACAGGCGCTGCTCTCAAGATACTTTATTAAGAAGAAATGTTCCAGCTTCACCCATGTAAACATAAAACAGGTAAAGTCTCCATCATTTTTTAATGCTGCACAGTATTCCATGGTATACATATACCATAATTTATTGATCCATTCGTGGGTGGATGGGCACTTGGGCTTCTTCTATGACTTGGCAATTATGAATTGAGTTGCAATAAAGAAGCTGGTGCAAATATCTTTGTTGCAAAGTGATTTTTGGTCTTTTGGATATACACCTAGTAGAGGAATTGCAGGATCAATTTTTGTCCAGATCACAAACTCTTCAAAGTTAAGGGTTGCAGGAGGCACGTTTTCCTCAGATGATTTGCTGAAATGTTTCAGACATGTACAGCTACCAAAAACAGACATTAACTACAAACTAAACAATTATTTGACAGGATTAAATGGCTCCAAATTAAGTAGCACCAACAAGACAAGACTGATTTCCCTGCCTAAAATCAACTAAGGGCACTCTTGGTTTCCAAGGGTTCTATTTTAATTTCATATTCCTCAAAATCTAAATAAGTCTCACTAGCTTCTTGATTTTTGTCACACAGTTAAATAATATATTTTCTCTCATTTTTTTTTTTTTTTGACAGGGTCTCTCTGTATCTCCAGGCAGGTCTCCTAGGCTCAAGAGATCCTCTTGCCCTCAGACTCCCAAGTACCTGAGATTATAACTAGGAATCACACACCCATCTGGATATTTTGGCTTAATTATAAATCATAAATATGAAGCAAAAAAGCCTGTTAACTGATCTAAAATAATCTGATACCTCTTTCTACAATTTCTTACACAAAAGAAAATCTAAAGATTCAGCAAGTATTTTCAATACTGACACATGTAATCCAAGTGTTCAATCAATATTTGTTGAATAAAGATGTATCAAATGCTTGAACTATTTATAGGAAACAGAAACTCTTGATTTCTGAAACTGTCATCTGTCTTATGTTGGTGGCACTGATCATTAGTCTTTGCTTAGCTAGGAACCTGTTTTTAAGTGTAAACCCAACATTTTACAACCCAGTAGACAAAAGGGTATTTGAGATAGCAAAAGATTCATTCGAATGCTTTTCAATGACGTTCTAAATATTTTGTACAATTCCCTATATAAGAAAACATTGTGTATTCATTGTTTAACTTTTCTTGATGACTCAGTGCTATTATCAGGATTAAACCCTGAAATATGGCAAAGAATTAGAATATGTTGAAAGCTAGTCTGGCTTAGTGCATTCTGAAACTTAACCTTACAAGGATCTGGTGATTTGCCTTCCTGAAACAATTAGTAGGCACGGTGTTGGGGTGAATAATATGCAGTTTCAATTTTTCTGGACAGTGTCTTATGTATGTACTTATGTTAAATAAAGAACTCTCAAGAAATTTTCTAAGCTATTTTTTAGTTTTCATTAAATTATTTGCTTTTGAATCATTATATTCTGAGTCAAACACTTCTTAGTACTTTCAAAACATATTCTTACTTTAATAAACTCTACTTCAATTTTCTTTTATCCATTTACTCTGTAGGGATTTATTTCAACTTCTTAAACCCTGCCATCTTGTGGTGTTTTAGGTAATTATTACTAAAGATGCATTAGTCAAGTTGTTTTTTTACAACTGTAGGAATAATTCATTTGAGTCCATGATGACTGTAGAGCCACTCAGAATGTTAGTATTCATGGTACTATGTACCTGAAGTTTTGTTATGCACATACATATGTTTGCAAAGGATTAACTGATCATAACAAATCTAATTCAGTTTTAGGTTTTTCTATTTCTGTCTTTGATTGCCAGGCAAAGTGACAATTTTCACTTACAGAAAATACTGATTCTTGTTTGATATTGTATGCGCTCATTACAAGGAATTACACTGTCTATTTACTGGAAATGCATTAAAACATTACCTGATGGGCACGATACCTTCCTTATACTATTATGCCAAAGGATTACGTTAGAACTAATTTTTGGCTACAAATAGATTTGGGTGAGAAGGCTACATGAAAACATCATTACAACAGAATAAATGAGAAGGAAATTCCAAACAGTGGTCAGATGGATGTAAAGAACACAGCCAGGGTAAGACCTCCATGGATGAGAGGCCAAGCACTGCCTCTGCAGCTTGAATAAGCACACCAGCCAGCCAGCCAGCCAGCCAGCCAGCCAAGTGCTGCACAGCTGGACTGGTCTGAGTGACAGCCAGCCTTCAGATTGAGAACCTAACTGTATCAGATGACACACTCTGAGAGGTTCTGGGAAAGCCTTTTCATCCCTCTCAGACACTGACCAGAATCCCCCAAACATTCTCCTTCTATGGGAGCAGCTAGGAAGGACTCCTAGGACAAGGGTTCACTGCTCCTTTCACATTTCACTTCTTAACATTTGCTGCGAGACATAAGACACAGCCCGTGGCCTCCCGTGGGCTCCGTGAGAGGTGCCCTGTGCACGTGCACCACCTCATGGCAACATTTCCACAAAACATTCTAGATCAGCAATTCTCAACCTGTGGGTCGCAACCCCGTTGTAACAATTAAAATACATCCTGCATATCAGAGATTTACAATTTATAACAGTAGCAAAATTACAGTTATGAAGTAGCAATGAAAATAATTTTATGGGTGGGGGTCACCAGAACATGAGGAACTGTATTAAAGGGCAAAGGCATTAGGAAGGTTAAGAACCACTGTTCTTTTTATAAGGAAAAGAAGAATGGTAAGAGGAGAGGTGTGCTATCTAAATCACAGGGCAATCTTTTCAGTGTTTTAAGGACCCACTAGTTCAGTAGGCTTGCATCTTCTAAATAATGCAACTGTTTTCATTCTTTCATCACAGAAAAACTAGAAATTACAGTAAAACATAAAAGACTTTTTAAAAATCAGCCAAGGCTCAGCACCCGTAGTTCAGTGAGTAGGGCGCCAGCCACATACATCAAAGCTGGTGGGTTCGAGCCCAGCCCAGGCCTGCTAAACAATGACAACTGCAACCAAAAATAGCCAGGCATAGTGGCAGGTGCCCGTAGTCCCAGCTACGTGGGAGGCTGAGGAAAAAGAATTGCTTAAGCCCAAGAGTTACAGGTTGCTGTGACCTGTGATGCCACAGTTCTCTACCAAGGGCAACAAAGTAAGACTCTGTCTCAAACAAACAAACAACAAAAAAAATCAGCCCAAATTCTAGCATCAAAGAAAACCACTGTTGATCTCCCTCTACTCATTTTCTTATCTAGGACAACCCCATACAAACATTAACACTACACATACTTATTACTTCTTTCCCTATGAAGTATTTACTTCTAACCAGCTACCCATGCAGGGGAAAGTGCTGCTGAGGGAAGACTGACTTCTCCCTGTGTATGTATCTACAAACTCTCAACAGGATAAAGGAGACTGGCTAGGTATCAACAATCTTGCCTCACTGGCATTAGCCACTCTACATCTTTCCTTCTTCAATCACGTCATCACCTTTCTCTGAGACTTTCCACTCCTTGGGTTTTATCCCCCATCCCCACCCCCTGAAATCTGTCTATCTGTCTCTCTCTCACCATATGCAGTGTTTTTTTCTGTTCATTGTTAATATGGTTGCAATGCAGTTTTACATTATCAAGATATGAATTAAAAACAAATTCTGTCCCCACTGTTACACACACAACAGTGATTTGAGGATCCCAGATAAGAGAGAGCTAGCTAAATGAGGTAAAAGAGCAAGCAGGCTAGGAAGACTGGCTGAGTTGCTCCATAAGGGCAACAAAGCAAGAAGATGCCTAGAGATTAAAGTGGTAACCAGAGACCTGATGGACAGACAAGGATTGGGTCTCTCACCCACCAGGCCAGAAATCATCGACTTTATGAAAATAGAAGACAAAAGCCAGATCCTAGAAACACAGGTGGTAAAGAGCCCTATCAAGAGATTTGATGAAAGGATGGGGACTTATTTCTAAGAATAAAAGAAAACACAAAAGTTGTCAAGAGGTTTGGGGAGGCTAGATGTTGAAACAGAAGGTAACAGTAGATTTCTATTGAAGATTGGTAAGGTAATGTACACGTGTATGTGTACGTTACACATACAAGGAAATCAAAATAATGTACAAATCTGCAATTTACAACACTTCTCACCCCTTCCTCCCTCAACACACACACACAATCTACAATGAGGACAAAAGTTATTTGTTATTCCAATAAATATAAATGGATTAAATTCATTAGTTAAAAGAATTATTCCTTACTACATGCTTTTTACAAAACTGTCTTAAAACAAAAAGTTTAAAATGGAAAAAAGAAATTCCAGACAAATGCTAAGCAACAATAAAAATTATAGTAATAATGCTAGATAAAAATGACCTTATAAAATATAAAATGTAATTATATATGTGTCAAATTCTATAGTTTATCTTATAAAATGGTTCCTTTTTGAAATATCTGGAAAGAATTTATAAGTACATGTATACACTTACATACTACATATTTCTCATCACTAAAAAGAACATTAAATTAGTTATTCAGAGATGGATCATATTCTATTATCCAAATGGCTATTTGTGTGCAGTTCAACACATCCACACAAAATCCATCTGTGCAGCCCATGGCTGGGCACTGTGTGTATAAAGATAAAACACCCATTCCCAACCTTGACACAGTCTAAATGTTACATATTACAATAATTTGCATAACATAATGAAAAACTGTAACTCCTTATAAATTCTTATTTAACTAAGCACTAAATGACAAGCTATAAAAGGCCAGAGCAATTTTGTATCTTCTCTAATGCTGTCTTTGAAAGTAAAACTTGTCATGCCAGGAGTGGTGGCTCACAAATGTAATCCTAGCCCTCCAGGAGGCCAAGGTGAGTGGATTGCCTGCCCTCAGGAGTTCAAGATCAGCCTGAGCCAGAGCGAAACCTCATCTCTAAAAATAGCTGGGCATTGTCTGGGTGCAGTGGCTCACACCTGTAATCCTGGCACTCTGGGAGGCTGAGGCAGGTAGATAGATTGCTTGAGCTCACAGGTTCAAGACCAGCCTGAGCAAGAGTGAGATCCCCATTTCCAAAATTAGCCAAGTGTTATGGCAGTTGTCTGCAGTCCCAGCTACCTGGGAGAATGAGGCAAGAGGATCACTTGAGCCTAAGAGTTTGAGGTTCCTGTGAGCTATGACACCACACGCTCTACCAAGGGCGATAAAGTGAGACTCTGTCCCAAAGGAAAAAGAAAAAAATAAAACCTCTCTTTAACAATCAGTGAAGGCCATGATCAGTTTGGGCTTTTTTAAACTGCAGAACAAATTCATCTCTTAATCTGCACTTATCACAGGTTCCATGCTGAGATCTTACTGTCAGTGCTGCCTGGTATCCATCTATGATAATTAGAAGTAGACATCATAATGTCACAAGGCTCAGATAGCTCTTAGGCTGTATGACTTTGTCAGCCTTAAATGTCAACAAACTGCAAAAGGCAAAATCCCTAACTTCCAATTCCTAGTTTACAATTCATAATTCTCAGCCCTTGATTAAAATTTTCACCAGTGCAAGAAAACAGCAGAAGGAAACCACATGAAACTCAAACTATGTTGAGAAAGAGAAAATATTAGCTATTATTTAATGTGATAAATAAATGTCAAGAAAAACCATCAAATTTAGCCAAAAGACTGAATCTAATATCACATTAGCCACTGTTGTAAAAAACTAACAAAACATCTACCAAAAAAAACTACACAGTAGATATTCTACCTCACAAAGCAGTATATATAACTGAGAAACTGGGGCATAAAAGGTTGTTGTTAAATTTCCCTCCACATACATAAATGTGCATGAGAAGAAGAAAGAGTCTTCACAAACTCCCTGAATATTATGTTCCAAACTTGACACTTTAATCTATTGAGAGGAAGCATAGCTTAGGAAACATATGTAAGAAAACTCACATCTAAAAATGTTTTAAATATTTTGAGCTATATTTAATTCCAGAGTAATTTTGTTAAATCTGGTTGTATTTAGTTCTTCCTCTGCAGAGGAAGAACAAAAAAATTATGGGGTATATTCAAGATTACATAATAGCACATTTTTACCTAAATAACAATTTTAACCCACTGAAATGACTTGGTGAAATTCCACAATTACACAATCACACAAACTTCCTAAAGGCCAAGTTAGGCTTGTAGGTCACAACCCTCTGTGCCTCTATCACAACTACTCAACTGTAGCACTATAGAACAAGAGCAGTCATGAACAGTAGGTAATGAATGAAAGATGCTGTGTTCTAATCAGTCTTTACTTACAAAAATACGCAGCCCACCCACATGTTGTAGTTTGCTGATTCATGACATATAGAACCACTTTCAGGCTTAAACCATCTTTGATCTGTATGGAGCTATGCCACTGGAAAAATAAGGTGACGTAAAACCATACAAGCCTTTCTGTTTTGATGGGAGGGCTTCATCACTGACCTAAGAACATATGACTCTGACACAGTAATTAAACTCCATACTAGAGTAGCCGTGTGACTTAAGAAGAAAAGGGAATCTATTCCTAAAAACCTCTCTGCAAATATAACTATAAAGGTTTTATTTATGATTACTCACCCATATCTTGCCAGAGATGCTAAAAAGACCAGCCATTCCAGACATCCTAAAAAAAAAAAAAGAAAAGAAAGAGTACCACCATGAAGAAACACAAACTTCAGGTCAGTAGGACCTCCTGCTCTACACTGTTCTTGCTACTGGACTCATTTCTGTTCTTATAGAACATGGCTTTCAGGACCATGATTTCAATTATCCTGCTGCAGATACATTCCAGGTCCTTGGCCCTTTCTGCCCCAATTGTACCTACTTGGCAAAAACTTCAACTCCAACTCCAAGTAGTTGAATATGGGGGCAGGGGGAGTGGCGGAATCACATGACCCGTGCTTGTTGTTACTGCTTCACAATCCCAAACAGAAGAACACTCAATACTGCCCAGTCACTGCACTTTTCAGACTCTGAGTTAGTAACTCATTCCTCTCCTTCAACCCCTCCCAGTGTGCTCTCAGCTAACAAACACTCCTCCTATGTCACCGTGAAATCAAAGCCATTGTGCGATATAGCTTATCTTCCCACCACCAAATCTGAGCCTGGTGTATGCCTGCAACCACCTTCTCCTATTCTGACACAGACACAGAAAATCATCTTTCTTACCAGAGTCCAATTCCTCCCCCATGTGCCTTGGATCCCATCCCCTTTGTCTTGTTAATGACTTGGTTCTTTCCCCCAACTTCATGTCCTGCCTGAGCAATTACTCTCTTTCTGTTGAGTCAGCCTCATTGGCTTGCAAACATTCTCTACTCTTCCGTCTTTTAAAAAGAACATCCTTAGACCTCATCTGATCGTCCAGCTTCACAGACAAATTTTCCCAGAAAGTAATCTACACATGCAGTTCCTTCTTATTTACGGTACCTCTGACCCATTCACACCTGGCTCCCATCCTCATTGCTGCACTAACACTACCTTGTTAAGGCCACAGTGACCCCACATACTTGACTGTCCTTCACCTCCTGGTAGCACAGAACATAAAGGACTGCCCCTTCCTTCTTGCACACCCTCACTTGGCTTCTGGAAAGCAGCAGAGCCCTGGCTTTCATGCTGCCTCACGGGGAACTCATCTTCAGTTTCCTTCTCAGCCCAACTTCTCAAGTTGGGGGTGGCTCATGGATTGGTCCTAAGTACTGTTCTCTTTTTCCTTTTTTCTAGGTGTTTCCCTTAACCTCTAAGGCTTTGAACATAACCATGTGTTCTATTTGTGTTCCTAAATTCTACATGGAGCCCTATCTCCATACATCCAATTCAACAGCATTACAATATCTGCATCTCAAAGTCAACATATCCAACACAGAAACCTTGATGTTCTCTAGCCAACAACAGTAACTGGTACCAAAATCTACCAAGTACTCAACCAGATACCTATTAAGTTTATACCTATGAATCCTTTCTCTTCTTCACCTTGGCCAATTCTACCTTCAAAATAGATTTTAAACCTACTCATTCTTTCCATTGCCACTACTGCCACCTGATATAAGGTGCAGTTCTGAGGTTGGACACTACCATAGCCTTCTAACTAGTTTTGCCTCATCCGTCCTTGCCCTTTCCAACCCTTTCTCCTGAGAGTAAACTTTTTCCATATACTGATAACCTCCATGCTCCTCACCATGGCCAAGGCCCTGCATGATCTGGTTCAAGCCCACTTCTGTTATTCAACTTAGACTATTTCCTGTCCTTTCACTGGCCACCACTCTGCCCCAAGCATATGAAGCTCTTCTCTAAACTGGAGCTTATGCAAGTGCTATTCCCATTCCTGGAAATATTCTTCTCCCTGCTCTTTACCTGGACTAGTTCCTTCAACCCTTTAGATCATACCTAGAGGTCATATCTCAGAGCTATCTCTCCTAACCCCTCCATCTGGAACAGGTCCATGACCCAGGGTTACTCTCTGTCTTTGTGTCCTAAAAGCCAAGCCCAGGAGGAAGGAAGCAGAGTGCAGTAGGAAGCAATGCTGGAGATGTGAGAAGTGCCAGGAAACTGTTGTTGTTTGGTTAACTGCCCTTATCCAGACTATACTTCTTTGTATCCCTAGTTTTTTATTTTATCTGTCTTTCTTTAAGCTACCAGAGAGGAATGAGAGGACCATGTCTATCTTATTCACTGCTAAATACCCAGCACCGAGAACCATAACTGGTATAAAATCAGCATTCAAATATTTTTAGAAAGAAATACCAGAGATAAGCTGAGTTTTTTAGAGCAAGCCATGAGTTTCCTGGGTACTAGTATAGACACCACTAGATGATTTATTCCTGAAATTGTGTGTGATTTGCTTCTATCTCCATAGGGATATTTCCTACTCTTACATATGCTAACATAAAATTAATTACAAAAGGACAATTCATTTAAAGTTAAAATTATGGAAAACATTATCATGGTTTGGCGTTATTAACCTCACCAAGTGTTACAGTTTGCCATCATGACCAAAAGTTACCCATGGCCATATTCTGTTAGGCAGTCAAAGACACCATAGGTTTTTTATTTTTTATTTGAGATGCAACAGCAATTGCTTCATGTTCTACACTCATGGTAAATGAAATGTGGTAAATAGTATCCAATACTATCCTTTGTAAAGACAAAACAGTTAGCATGGTTTAGCACACAGACTGAAGTAGAAGCTTTCTATAACCCACCCTAAGCTGGCTACTTAATACCCAGTAAACTGAAAACTAACTGAACCATACGTGCTGTGTATCAGAAACACCATATCAACCAAGCATGGGGACGTGTAGGTTGGCTCCAAAAAGTAATAGGAAGAAAAATGTAGGTTTTCAAGACCCACAGACTTGACTTGGTCCCCTTTTTAAATTAATAACACCATGCTGTTAAAAAAAATTAACAAGTTACGTTAGAGAAGCTGGAGACTTCCAGCCAGTCAGAGGCTCCACTGATTGCCATTTCTTCTCTAAGATATAATTCTGCAGGTCCTCAAAGATTCCTGGGCCACGGTAACGGCGGAATATCCCATCCTTTGCACTATAAATTATAAGAACAAGTAGAAAAAAATTAATTAAAATAACAGGTGTTACAGATAATAAAAAACAAAATAACTATTGATCATGTGAACTCAACCTGAATTTCAATTGGCTCAAATGACCAAAACAATATAGGTAGGCCTAAGTCAGAAAGCATGCATTTAGTTTTAATCTATTACAAATGAGAAATTCCAAAACTGAAAGCATTAAACATTCATTTTATCACTGTAGGATTTGTGAATAAAAATAAAGTTCTTGGCAGTGTTACTTTCATTATTTTTGCTTTTCTCTTATGATAGCAAAATAGCCATTGTTATCGAGTTAAAAAAGTATCCACATTTCCAAATTCATATTTTTAAGGCCTTCTCCCCCAAATCAACATATCCCCATTCAGCCTTCCCTTCCTCTCACATCCCCCTTCAGCCTTCACCTCCGTTCACATCCCCCTTCAGCCTTCCCTTCCTCTTATATCCCCCTTCAGTCTTCCCTTCCTCTCATATTCCCCTCAGCCTCCCCTTCCCCTCACATCCCTCTTCACCCTTCCCTTCCCCTCATATCCCCCTTCAGCCTCCCCTTCCTCTCATATCCCCATCAGCCTTCCCTTCCTCTCACATCTCCCTTCAGCCTTCCCTTCCTCTCATATTCCCCTCAGCCTCCCCTTCCTCTCATATCCCCCTTCAGCCTTCCCTTCCTCTCACATCTCCCTTCAG